GAGGATGGGGGGGAGGAGGGGGAATGAAGGTGGTAGTGGACTGGAGATTGTAGAGCGAGGGGAGGTGGACAGAGGTGACCCTGAGGGGCAGGCCATGCTTGCATGCCCCTGCTCGACCCATCTGCACGCTCAGCAAGGGCATCATCCTTCTCGGTCAGCAGGTCTCCAGTCGAGATCATCCACCCTCCACCACCCGACCCTCCACATTACGACAACTCACTCTGTGACGATGCCAAGGTAGGGTGACAGCACAAAGCCCTGGAAGAGGAGGAGGTTGGGGTGGCGCAGCGTGGCCAGCACATCCACCTCGCGGAGGAAAGCATCGCGCCCCTTGGGCGACAGGTTGAGCAGCAGCTTGGCCGCCGCCAGGCTGCCCTGGTACTTGCAGATGAAGACCTCGCTGAAGCCGCCCACGGCAATGCGGGGCCCCACCAGCACGTGCTTGGGGTCGAGCTCCAGTGGGTGGCGCTGCGGCAGAGGGTCGACAGGCAGCGGTACACGTGGCAGCGCGGGCTTCAGGTGCGCCAGGTTCTTCCGGAAGGTCATGGTGCGGGGGTGGAGCACCAGCGACTCCAGCCCCGGCAGGTCGGGTGGGGTATCCAGCAGGCTGCTGGAGGACCGGGCCGAGGGCGGGGGCAAGGGTGGGCCATCGTCCGCATTGTACTGGCCTGCGAGAGGGGGAGGGGGGCGGGGGCGGGGGCAGGGGTCTGATAGCCTGGTTTGGAGGGCTTGAGACGTTCCAGGACGGAGCATGAGGAGTCTCGCAATCAGGGTGCGAGCCGTCGGCGACGCTTCTCACAGAGGGAGCTCATGAGACGCCAGCAGAGGTCGAGTGAGCCTCAGCATGAGGCCCCATCGCAGGCGTTGGCTCTCGACGCCACGCCCACCCTGCACTCCCAGACACCAGCCCCGACTGATCCATGGCGCCCACCTTCGTTGGCAAAGTTCTGGCCCTCTGCAAAGCGGGCGGTGAAGGCATGCCGCACCGTCACCTCGGTCGTGTTGGGGTCGCCTGTGGGATGGAAGGAGACCCGCGTCGCGCCATGGCTTCCCACGCTCAGGGGCTGAATGGGAAAGGCACTCAGCGCCCCATCCTCAATGGCATCCCCCAGCCGCTGCCGGTCCTCCCGGCTCTGCGACGAAGAAGGGTACACGGGGCTGGGTGAAGTTCGAAGGATCATGTGCCGTTCGCCGCCCCTAGGGACGACCTCTCAAGTGAGGAGCCGGCGCGGGGGTGCCTGCCTGAGGACAAGAGGTCGCACACGGGAGGACGGTGCCCTGGGCAAAATCTCATCCGAACGCCTAACAAATACTAAACCACGCACCATTACGAGGTTCACATCCCCATCCTCGGAGGTGAGGGACGCGGAATGCGTCAGAGAGGAGCCGCCGAGCACCAGCGACGCTGTTGTCGAGGGCGTCCCGGCAGACGAGTTTGGCACATGGACGTCCAATGGCAGATCAGCCATTCGGACTCCGCCTCTTGGCGTGTTCTCCAGATTATTGAGCTATCCTGGGCGCTGCGGGAGGGCAGGATGATCGCGTATTCAATGGACACTCAAGCGGAGCGCCTGGCGACCACTGGTGGCCCGCGGCTGGACCATGCCATCTCAAGGTGCAGGGGAGGACGAAGATGGGCTGTCGAGTACCGCTCCGGCACTCGAGCACTGCCTTGGGGCCACTCTGGATGGCTGCCGGGGCCCGCGATGCGAAGTATGTTTTCGGAGGTTAAGAATCTGCGGAGAAATTGTTCAGGTGGAAAGTCTAGCTGGGTGGGTGGAGTGGATTGCTCCATCATCTGGCCATTTCTAGCTGGATCGAATACAGCACATATTGTCCCGATACGGTCATCGCAAACATGGCTAGGACCTTGCCATGCGGTGTCAGCTCCCAAACAGGCGTCACTATGCACGCAAAGGCATGGCATGGGGCGGGATGCGGACAGAGCATGGGTCGAGGTCGAACCTCCACAGCTCATACATGGATGATGAGGTGAGCACAGGTAGCGATGGAAGGCCTTACTCCTTAAAAAGAGCACATGAACATGATTTGGCAAAGATTCCTGGCAAAAATAGTGCGCTGAGGACATGGGCCATGTGACCTGATTTCCACCACCTAGCCCCCCAAGTGGGTCCGTGCTGTGCGCAATGCAGGAGTCCAGCAAGAACTGCCAACTTGACAAGGCTAACCAGGCCTCAGATGCAAGCCCGGAGCGCCAAAAAGGCGGATGCGCTGATATTTGATTGTGATGGTGCGCGGAGGGTGGGTTGAAGTACTCTGCGCGCGTTGAGTCATGATGCACATCTTCTTCCCAAACCAATCTGGCCCTCCGACCACCCGTACCAGGGGTCATCATTGAGAGCGAGGGCATCCACCTCCAGGCATACAATGCGACTTTTCGTGACTTTGGACTTCGCATCGAGGGCCACTCCGAGGATGCGGTACAATGGAGCGAACCATTCTACGAGATGCTGCAGAATAAGATTGGTGGAGGGAAGCATAAGATGCGGTACTACTTTGGTGAGCTCATTGGCCATGGTGGCGGCGTCTCTCAGCTGCAGGGCTTGAGTGTCTTCCTTCCCTGTACCTGTGCTTGTGGGGCCTGATTTTTGGGAACTAGTGATCGCGAGTCCCAATGCCTCCCTAGCAAGGTAAGTCTAGCAGATCATTCTTCTTGATCGTGAAAGGAACATTTGGAGCCGTCGCTCTCATACTTGGTTGGCCCCCCATAACAATTGCGTAGAACAAGAGGGATGGCCAGCCTCCACCCAAGATGATTTCTCGAGTCCTCCTGCTACTGACGCCGGCAAGCAGGCACTCATAGATGCACTGCAAGATCACAAGACGGAGGCCTACAAGGACATTGTCGGTGAGTGGCCTGGCCGCTGAGAGCGGGAGCCGTTTGTTCTTCATTGCGAGGGTCTTGGGGGGCCAAGGGTAGGGAGGGCTTCGGCGATATGTCGCTCATCATAAGTTGTGCTCTGAGGCTACCTTACCTATGAACTGCACAAGCCCGGCCTCATACACTGCACGAGCCCGCCGCTACATCCGCAACATGCGCCCACACTCCCCCCCCCCTGCCAGGCAATCAACCCATCGACCCGAGGCCGGGCGTGGTTGAGCTGTTTGACGCAGCAAGAAAGGACGGTCTCAAGGTCGCTGTGTGCTCTGCGAGCACCAAGATTGCGGTCCAGTACGCCCTGCAAAATGTGTTGGGGGAGGACAGGTTCTTCTCCCTCGACGCCTTCCTTGCTGGCGACGATGTTGCTGAGAAGAAACCCAACCCTGCAATCTACAAGGTGTGTGTGGCCTTAGGTAGGGGGCATTGTATGGCGTTGAGCGTGCGCTGTTCATCATAATCAGCTGCAAACCTCCTGCACCCAGGTGGTTTCCCATGAGAATGCCTGCCAACCCAACCGCTCTCCTCCCTGGTCCCCGCAGGAGGCTGCGGAGAAGCTGGGTGTGGATCCAAGCGCCTGCCTGGTCATCGAAGACAGCGCCATCGGCCTGGAGGCTGCCCTCAGGGCCGGCATGCGGTGCGTGATCACCTACACCCACCAGACCGCGTCCCAGGGCTTTGCCGGGGCGGAGGCTGTGGTGGAGGATGCGCGCAAGCTGCCCTACACAGACCTGGTGGAGGGCAAGCTGTCTGGAGTGGACGATCGAGTGTAGGGCTGGGGTAAGGGATGACTATGCTGGTAAACCTCTTTGTTGGAGCCGATGCAGCCCAGGGAGAGGTTGGTACCTGTCCCTCGATGTCCCAGACCCCCCTGCCACATCCTTCTGACGCCTGAGCCCATGTGCCGGCGATGACACTGGTCGGCGATTCTTTTCGTGGTCGGAGACCTTGCATTCTCTCACCAAACCCCAGCTTTGCAACAAAGTGGCTGTGAGATCTCTGTAACATCACAAATTGGGTGCCCAACAGACAGGAGCATGGGTCAGATTATGCGGTTTCGCACATCCTCCAGCTTCTTGAGCACTTCCCCTGGGCTGCGATCCAGCTCGCTCGCGATCTGAGGGCAGGGCTGGGTGGTGAGCCTGAGCAATGCCTGACACGACACCTGGTGCCTGCAAGGTCCCTGTCGCAGGCGGCACAGGCCAGTCCATGCGCCCTTGCCACTCACACTCCCGGCCCTGATCAGGACCCTGACGCCCCCACCTTCCCCTCATCCCGCCCACCTGCCGCTGCTTGTCGATGGGCAGCTGTGCAAATTGCTCGCAGATGTCCCCGTCCACCACCGACTTGACAGGGAAGTAGGCGGACCTGGACAGCGGGCGGTCGGGAGCTGGTGAACTGGCATGATACACCCCGTGCACTGGGCGCGACGGGGCACCTCTCTCACAAGAGACAGGGCACAGCGGCCCGGGCTGTGGCAGGGAGCAGCCTTGGGACCCTGCTGCAGCCCCAGGCTCTGCAGCAACTCTGCTCCCAGGCATCCGCACCTGAAGGCAAGGTGGTCGCGGCCCAGTAGCGGCGGGGCCTCCGCCCGCATGTGCAGCTCCAGGTGCTGGAAGAAGTCGAGGTCCTCGCGGCTGGCAAAGGGGAACAGGGTGCCCAGGCCACCCAGGATTGTGGAGTAGATGAGCACTTCCCGGCCCCCCGGCTGCAGCGTTCCACGCTGCAGCGCCGTCACCGTCTCCCCCACCTGGGGGTTAAAAAGGAGGTAGGAGAGCGGTGAGTGTCCGCAGGAGTGAGGCGTGGCATTCATCGAATGGGGCACAGGAGGGGTCGAGGCCCCGTGCAGCCAGAGGGTGCATCCCCTGCACACAGACACCCCACCAGGCATGCAGTGGCTGAGGCATCCACGCATCCAAGACCTCTTGGGCCCGCCGGCATCCACAGGCGCCCCAAGCGCCTTCCACACAGGTGATGCTTTGACTGCACCTCCCCACCACCCCGGGAGTCACTTCACACCCACTGCCTCACATGGAAATTGATGATGGAGTCCAGCTTGTTGGACGCGCCGCCCAGCACCCCGCTCTGCCCCGCAAACTTGCCGCCCGTGGGGTCCTCCTCCACCTGAGGAGTGGTGAAGGGGCTGGATCGATGGAAGATGCAAACTCACGCACCCCCTGCATTGCCACGTGCGATGCCGAGCGAGATCAGGGAAAAGGAGTCTGCATCCCGACGGCCGGCTCGTCCCCTCCCCTCCCTGCTTGGTCCCCCCCGCCTGCAGCCACGCCGGCACCTGGGCGGAGAGCTCCGGCGGCAGGCGCGAGATGTGCAGGTTGCCGAAGCGATCTGCCCCCGCCATCGTGTCGTAGTCGAGGTTCAGGGCGGCGGTGATGGATCGCGGCACCGTGTCATCGGCAAAGACGTAGAAGCTGTTGTCGGACTTCTTGTACCTGTCAGAGTTGAGGTGTGGGTGGGGTGGGGTGGGGAGATTGATGAGGCTGGTGTCAACTGCACCATCGGAGCCAGAGGCTGGGTACATTGTGGAGGTCTTCACTGGGGCTGCCTCAGCCAGGAGATGCGCCTGAGGCTCACGTGGGCAGCCTGGCTTGTAGCCATCCCTCCCCCAAGCATACATCCATTCTCAAATCCAGCCGCAACCCTCATGGGACATTGGCCTACCCCTGGCTGCACAGACAAAACCCCACAGGCCCTCCCTCATCACCCACTTGAGGTACAGGAACGACTGGCTGGCGTCCCCCACATACACGCGGTTGCCGTTGACTGCCAGCTTTGCCACCGCCGTGGGAAGCTTCCGGTATTCGCTCTTGCGCAGCAGGCGCTTCTTGCCTGGGCACGGCATGGTGGCGATCCGATGTGAGCTAGTCATCGACTGCAGCTGGTAGCATAACCCGCAAACGGTTGAGCCCACCCCTACATGACACGCCCCCCACGCCTCAGTTTTCACACTCACCCAGATCGTAGAGGCGGACGGAGGCCCCCACCCCTGCCAACAGCCGCCCCCGGAAGGCCACCATGGCCCGAGGGATGTCGTCGAGGGGTGTGGTGTGCACCAGCTCCAGTGCCCGGCCCCCAGGGCCGAAGCGGTAGATGTGGATGGCGCCGCCTGGGATGTGGGGAGTTGTGCAAGGAGACGGGGTGATGCGGTGGAGGGATGAGCGGCCTGGCAAGCGGGATCCAGGCGTGACCAAAGTAACACTGCAAGGCCAGTCGACGGTGTCCGACTATTGGAGTGCCATGCACGCTGCCAAAGCGGCAGGCCCCGCCACTGGGCTGGTCGCCTGTCCTCGTCGCCGCCGCCGCTCCCCACCCCGGCCCTGGTGTCTCTCCTTGTATGCCACCTTCTGATCTCTCATGTCCCCCCCGCTGACATCCTCTCCCCCAGCCACCAGCCCCCCCCCCCAAAAACAACCAACTTTAAATACACCGCACCTTCCGACTGCTTGGGATAGAAGGACAGGCCTCGCGCCACGCCCACGGCCAGCACCAGCGCGTCCTCGCCCTCGAAGCCGACCAGCGCGGCGCATAGCGCGGCCTCGTTCCCCCCAAGCTCCACGCAGTCGGTGGTGGCCAGGGCCAGCGGGTCTACCACCCTCACGCATGAGCCCCAGCGCCCCGGCAGGCCCGTCGGGCACCCCACCTGGTCCAGCGCCGCGGCGCTTTCCTCCCCCGCCTCGAGCCCGACGGCGTGGAACTGCACGTCGGACGGCCCGGGCTCGGCCGCGGCCCCGCCGTCCGGCAGCGGGGGCGGGCCGAGCTCCGCGGCGGCCTCGGGCACGGCCAGCGCCCCCTCCGCCAGCCCCTCCTGCTCTCTCAGCGGGACCACCCCCTGGTCAGCCTCGACCGTGATGAGCAGCTGGGATGGTGATCATTGGGGAGGGGATGGATCAGGTCGGTGGGGTGAAGAGCTCCGATTGGATGAGGAGCAATTGAGGAGGGCCCGATCCCGGGTCCCGTGAGGGAAGCGCGTGTGCCCGAGTATGGACACCTCGCGCACAGCGCTCCACACCCAGGCCACATGGCCGGCACGCTCCAGCCGATGCCGAGCCAGCGCAGATGGCTTACCGGCATTCTTGCCTGCTTCCCCTCAGCCCCCTCCCCCCCCCCCGGGACTCATAACAAAAACACCCCAAGCACCTTGTGGTCTGGGTGGATGAGGAGTTCGCGTGGCGTGTAGCGCAGGCGCACCGCCCTCTGGTCGAAGCGCTGGCCCAGGCGCTCGACGGCCAGCACGCGGAGCTGCCCCCCCGCGACGGCCACAAACCCCTCGGGGCACTGCTCGGAGGCGAAGGGCGCGGCCCAGTCCAGCGCGGCGTGCGACCCGGGGACGAGTGCGAAGCGCCCCTGGTCCGCGTACCCCAGCCAGGGGCGGGAGGAGAGGGCCAGCATGGCGGGCGCGCCGCCCAGGGCGACGCGGAACAGGCGCGGCGCGCGCGTGCCCAGGAAGCGGGAGCGCGTGTCGCTGAGGGCGCCGGTGACGGGGTCCACCTCGGTGCGCAGGAGCAGGCCCGTGGCCAGGCCAACGGCGAGGGTGAGCCCGCCGCCGGGCGAGGCGGCCAGCAGTAGCGACTCCGGCGCGGCGCCCAGGGCCTGCGTGGCCAGCGCGCGCAGCGGGTCGGCCGGGTCCAGGCCCAGCACGCGCAGCGTGCCGTCCACCAGCCCGGCGGCCAGCAGCGGGGCGCGCGCGCGCCCCGCCTCCAGCGGGGCCAGGCCCAGCGCGGAGACTTCGCCGCCCAGCGGCCGCTTCTCGCTCTCCACCAGCTGCCCCTGCGCATTCAGCTCGAAGAGGAGCAGGTCGCCCCCCGCCAGGGCCAGCGCCACCTGGCGCGCGTTGGTCGCGGCGCGGGCCACGCGCCGCGACCCCGGCGCGCGCCACTCGTTCACGCGGCCGTCGGGGCGGACGTGGCGCAGGCCGCCCGCGTGCACCTGCAGCAGGCTATCGTCGGCCAGCAGCTGCACGCCCAGCGTGGCGAGGCCGCCCGCCAGCCCGCTGTCCGACACCTCCTCCACCGTCTCGCCGATGGACATGACCAGCGTGGCGTTGGCAAAGGACACCACGATGTACGCGTCGTACTCCGCAGCCTGAGAGCGGCGCACCGTCCACACTGTGGTGTCACGTTTGTGGAGGGAGTTGGTTTGGGTAGGAAGGGGGAGCGTGGACGGGGAGGCGGAGGTGCGTTGGTTGAGGGAGAAGTTGGTGCAGGTGTGACTTAGGGTGAGAAGGGGAGCAGTATGGGACATTCGAACGGCCTTGTGGCCCCACCCCAAAAGAACCATAAACCCCTACCTGCTGTGGGATTGCCAGGCAGGGGGGACACGGCCATCTCTGCAATGCCCAGGCCGGGGCGCAGGACCCGCAGGCTGCTGCGGCATCCGCGCCCGCAGGCGGCGTACAGCTGCGGGATCTCCTCGTTCGCCAGGTTGGCCAGCTGATGAGCGGGAGGGTGAGAAGGGGAGAATTGTGTTGGGTCTATGACAGGGATCATTGGAAGAGTGCAGGGGGATGGGAGAGGCAAGCCGCATTACATCCCGATGAGCATCTGGGACGAACACCGGATGGCCCAAGGTGGCGTGCAAGGTGACGCCGAGGGTAGCAAGACCATGGTCGGTGCACCCAGTGGTCCTCAGCTCCTCGCGGACATCTCCCCCATCCCCTCCAGGGGCAGCACTCACCTTGAGGTCCAGGATGGGAGCCAGAGACTCCAAACTATCAATGGGGTCCAGGTTGGTCAGTGGTCGGGGATCGAAGAACACTGCCATGGTGGGAGGAGGGTGTTTTTGGAGGGGGCGGGGTGGGGTGGGGGGGAGGGTAGTCTGGAAGCTTGCAACCACCCTAATGGATATTTTGGGCAAGGGTTGTACAAGTCTATGCTGCTGACATGCAGGCAAACCGATTGCCTGTGCAGGCTTGCTTGAATGCATACTGGTGATGCATGAAGGTTTGCCAGCACCGCATGTTGCCGTGTCACTCCCCGACCAGCGGTGGGAAGCGCCCAGAGCCCGGGGGCACACTTCATGGATCGGCCCCCGGCAAATGGCCCTGCCAGTTTGGGCATGGCTCCACCTCCCTGCACCGTTGGAGTAGAAACACACCCAAAGACACACCTGGCTGGAAACCCTCCTCCGTCTCCGTGAGGCTGGACGCACTGGACACCACCGCATCGTCATCGCCCAAGCCCTGCATGGAGGGGCATGGAGGGGTGCCAGGGGTTTACACCGCTGTCCCACACGCTGCTCTTGTGCGCACTCGCATCACGTCCGGTGGACGGGCTCGGTGCCTTTGCATTTAGGCCTGATTCCACCCACCCACCCCTGCGAATCCACGAATGTGCAGCCCTAGCCATGCAACTCGACGATCAGCATGTCCAACCCCTCCTCGCCTGGAACTGGTACAGCGCATGGTCCCCCAGCTCCGAGGCGGCAAACAGGAAGCCCTTGCGCATGACGCAGATGGAGGAGGCCGGGGGGATGGTGTCAAAGTACTTGACGTGCATGTCCCGAACAATCTCGCCCTCGTAGTCGAGCGTCAGCTTGTACAGGTCGCCATACTCGCTCTGCGCGCACAGGAAAGTGAGGGTTGGAGGGGGTGTGAGAGGTTGTGAAGAGGCTGATGGGGCAGGGAAAGGACCCAGACCTTGTCTAGAGAAGGATCAGGCCTCTCCCCAGCCTCTGAGTGCGATGGGAGGAGGGCTGAAGCCCGCCACTTTAAACAACCCCAGCCTGTAGTGATGGTGCTGGGAGGCCGGAGTACTGCACCAGCATCACCCCCATCCACAAAGGGAAGGGCGCCGCCATCCATGCCATCCCATGTACCAGGTGATGGGTGCCGCACTGCCCCCCATCCCTTGCCGGCCCACCATCGTCACCCTCACCCTGAAACCCCCTCGCCCGCGCCCTGCCCACCTGGAGGAGGACAAAGAAGAGGTTCTTCTGCTTGTGCGTGGCCGCTGAAACGATGAGCACCGACTTCTCACCGGGGAGGGAGGACCGGCGTGGGATGACGGCCCGCAGCTCCCGCCCCTCCACCGCCCGGTAGATGACAAAGTTCTCAGCGCACACAATGACGCCCCCTGGACGCGTGGTCAGGGAGATTGGTAGCGCTCAACGGATATGTTGGTGGGCCTTCTGGGGTGGGCTGGCATCATGCAGTCGCTGCGAGCAGCGTATTTCTTCATCTTCCGGGCGCCTCTTCCCAGGACCGCTACGGCGCGTCACCCATGAGAGCACCCGCCCACCCACAAAACACCCCCCAGCTGCCCTTCCAACCTGGGCCGTCGCCGCCGCCGGGAATGGGGACCAGCATGTTTGCACCGTTGTCGATGGGGTCGCTCTGCTTGCGCACCACGTGGTTCAGCCCCAGGTCCAGCTCATACAGGGTGAGGTGCTTCTGGGCCTCGGAGGCCGCCTCGCCCGTCGGGTCCTGGGGGATTCGGGTGAGGATGGGGGTGGAGGGCCCTCGCAGCTGAGAGTGGACGTGCTCCGAACCCTCCATCGGGGCCCAGCACGGGCCGCGTCACATCTCACAAGAACTCCCTACGCCGCCCTGCTCAAGCGCCATGACAGCAGGACCCTTCCCCCCGACTCCGTACACCCCAGCCCTGGGCCCCTTCTACCCCTCGCACCCATCCCCCACACCTGGTCGACGTCGGTGTAGTCCAGCTCTATGGCGGCGAAGATGGGGTTGTCGAAGCCCATGTCCAACCCCACGACGCTGTAGACAAGGGTTTGACCCCGGTGCGCCTCCAGGGGGCTGCTGATGGTCAGCCGCGCCTCATTGTCGCGATTCAGCACGTACACGAACTTCTGCTTCTCCAGGGCGCCGATGAGGCAGGCGCGGCCCTTGGGGTCCACGGCCAGGTGCTCGCCGGGGACGATGCGCCTGGGGGTGGGGTTTCCGGAGGGCGGGCCAGGTGTATGTTTATGAAAGCCCCTTGCTGAGGATGGTTGTTCGGCTGTCCACATCCAGTCCCCTCATTCAGGCACCACCTGCCCACCTGGCTCCACTCTTCCCGAACGTTTCCTGGTGGATCTTGACAAAGGCATTCTTTTCCTTGGAGAACTGGAGGATGATGATGCGGCCCGAGTCGGAGCCGCAGATCACGTAGTCCTGCTGCGCGCCCGGGAATCTGTGGGGGGCATCCACGGGGGCAAGGCATCAGCCGCTGTTGTCCAATGGCCACATGATTGCCCTGCTGCACCCAAGCACAGGCTCGCCCCTGGAATCAACACGATACAAGCAACAGATGGACCCACGAGTTCTCACACCTGAAGGGCTGGATGGCTCTGATCAGGCCAAACACCTCAGTGCTGCAGATGGTCTGCATGCGCCCATTCTCGTCTGGTCGCAGCAGCTCCAGGACCTTGCCCCGTGAAACGATGATTTCTTGGAGCTTGGGGGCAGAGAAGTTCCCATAGATGGCACTCTGCAAGACGGATGCGTGGGTGGGTGGGAACCAGGGTGCACGACAGCGCAGGCGACGTGTTTTCAATGTGTGAAATCAGCGGGGCATGTTCCAACCTGCAGCGAGCAATTTATGCAATGTCCAAGTATCAACGATTCACCGTACCGTGATGGCCGAGGCCCGGCTGAGGGTCAGGTTGTAGAGATACATCACCCAACCTCCCGCCCTTCAGCGGGACCAAGCCCTGGCTGTCCACTCTCCGGTGCCTTCCAAGTCCAAGCGTATTCTGGTGTCCACAGGATTCGATTACGAGGAGAAGTGAGTAGCCTGTCCGATGTGCAGGAGGAGAGCGGCACCAAGCTGGTTTAGCGCGCCTTCAGCCGATGTTGCATCTCCTGGTGTGGTCGTTCTGGGCCGAGAAAACTCTTCCTCCGATGCATGCCAACCTTGCATGTAATTACTACATCTCTGATTTATCATCAAATCGCATTCAGCTGCTCGAATCAATCCGTGAACATTCGTCTTTGGGTGTGTGACCCACGTTTCGCCGGGATGGCACGCGCGTTGCGGTCACTTACCTTGGTCGGGCGCGCTCTGCTTCGGGAGCAGGCTTCTGGGTCTAAATTGACATACCAGGTGAGTCGAAGAAAGTCCTGTTGAGTCTGGACTGCCCACATCCCATCTATACCTTCTCGCACTCTCTGTCAAGTCATCGCACAAGTCTCATGCATGGCCACACAGGCACGCTTCAATCCTGCCCCCCCCCAAATCATGCAGCCTACCACGTTCAGGGCGTTCGCATCGTCCACTCGTGCATCCTGGTGGCCTTCCAGCTCTCCTCCCGAGACGGCCAAGGAAGGAGGGACCAGCGCAGCCGCAGGCACCGAGCCTGCCGCCGCGTCTGCTGGTGAGCCCGCCACAGAGGCCGCTGCATCCGATCTCACTCCAGACGAGCTGAAGCAGGCACTGCAAGCCGCCAAGGAGCAGCTGGAACTCGCTCAGAAGGAGGCTGCAGAATCCAAGGACCGGCTGGTAAGGACACTGGCAGACATGCAGAATCTGCGAGAACGGACGGCCCGACAGATTGCCGACACCAAGCAGTTTGCCGTCCAGGTGTGTGGAAGGGAGGCAGGTCTGGGGTATGAGGAATGGTATCGCCTTGCCCCACGTCCACCGCTGGATGGTGTGCGTGCACTGGGACTGCACCCTGAAGCATGCCGAATCCTTGTCCACACATGATTGCAGGGAGTGGTGAAGTCCTTCATCGAGGTGGCTGATAACCTGGATCTGGCAATAGGGTCTGTTCCTGAGAAGGAGCTGGAAGGGGGTGAGGACGTCGATGTGGAGAGGGCGCTCACCCTCCTGAAGCGGCTTCGGGATGGAGTGGTCATGACGGAGAGCATCATGCTCAAGGTAACATGTGTTTGTGTAGTGGGGCGCGGGGCTGTTGACATGGTTGCAGACATCCTGCAATATTTGAGCTCCCTGTGATGCCTTCTCACCCATGCACACCCCTCCCTGCACAGCTGCTGGAGAAGGAGGGTGTGAGGAAGTATGATCCCCAGGGCGAGCCCTTCGACCCCAACCTTCACAACGCCATGTTCCGTGTGCCCAACTCCGGGGTCAAGTCTGGGCATGTGGCCCACGTCATTAAGGTGTGTGTGGTGGGGGGGGGGGGGGCGGGGAAAGGAGGGCACGGGGCATGGTTGCCTGAGGAGAAGGGGAAGGGTGTGTTTTTGCAGGACCTGGTATCCGTGAGGGAAGCTGTCAAAAAGTTGGGCACAGTAAGAGGCACCAGAATTTTGCCACTCTTGTACACAACCGAGGAGAGGTAATGGGGCCACAGCATCCGCAACCCATCCCATCCTTTCTCTCTGCACCCCATGCCATCAACAGAAAGGATACATGCTGCATGAGAGAGCCGTCCGAGCCGCCGACGTTGGCGTGGCTGAGTGAGGTCGCCAGTGCTGCCGTGTCACCGTGGTGCCACAGCGCACCCTCTGAACGTATCTTCTGCTCCATGTGACAACTCTCGTGTAAGACCGGACGCATGGCAGTTTCAAACCCTGAAGAGCACATCAGGATGGTGTTGTAAACAGGCTTACTTAGAGTGCCCAATCCCTATGCACGCCCCGTGTGCCATCCTCTACCCCACAAGCTGGGCATGTAAACTGAGCTTTGGAAAACGTCCAGTTCCAAGACTAGACGATGCCGGAACTGGTACTCTCGCCGAAGATCAGTGTGAGCAGCACGTGGGCACAGGGCAGAGCATGCACTGCACGCCCTCTCTCACCCCCAACCCGTACGCTCATCGCGCATGCGTCGTGGCCTTGAGAGTACAGGGCCAAGACTGCAGGCATTATAAGGTGCATCACGAGGCACCATGGTGTCGCTGCGCCTGGTGTGCTCGGCCGCGGGCCCACCGCGCGCAGACAACCCTGTCCCTAACCAGGCACCCAAGGTGGGATTGCCATGAATCGGGGGAATCAGCAACCTCCTGCATTGATTTACATGGCCTTGAAACATGCTTGTACTCAGAGTTCCCCACTCCCACCCCTCATCTCAGAACCAGACCATCCGGCCGCGCCCCCAGGCGACAGCAAACCCGCAACCCTTGCGTCGATCGACCGCTGCCCCCCAGCCCAGCGTGGAGCTCGCCTACTCCACGGGCTGGTCCGGCGCGAGTCTGCATGGATCCATTGCTGGACAGGAGTGGCAGACCCTGGGCCTCAAGCCCGTGGTGTCTGGGGCTGGTGCCTGGCACCACCTGAACCTGCCCGTGCCGGCCCAGGGCAATCCCCCGACGCCCCTCCTGGAGTTTGTCATGACAAACGGGGCATCGGGATGGGACAAGCCCACGGAAGGTATGTGTTGTTGTGTTTCTTGGTGGGGGGGGAGGGTTGGCCGTCGTCGTGCGCAGAGCAGCGGCTGGGTAAAAGTCTGTTCGGCTCTCGGGGAAGGTGCTCACACATGGCTGGGCACCACATGCATGCTTTCCTTGTCTTCAAAACTTTCGTGTGCCCCCCTTCATCTTTACTCATCAGATCGTCGCCCTCGCCCGCCGAGCCCCCTCATGCCCTCCACCAGGTGGGCACTACACCATCGCCGCGCCCGGCCGGTACTGCCTGCAGCACGGGCGGGTGGAGAGCGTGGCCCACTCCCGTCGCCTGCTCCTGGTCACCGACCTGGACGACACGCTGGTGGGCGACGACGAAGCCACCGCCGCCTTCCGCGACTGGTGGCTGGCGCGCGCCATGCCCGCCGGCGCGCGCCTGGTGTACAACACGGGGCGCGCGCTGGGCCTGTTCGAGGACCTGCTCTGCGCCAAGCGCGGCCTGCTGCCGGAGCCCGACCTGCTCCTGTCGGCGGTGGGCACGCGCGTGTACGAGCGGGGAGCCGAGGGCGCCTGGCGCGCCGCGCCGGGGCACGCGCCGCGCCTGGACGCCGGCTGGGACCTGGAGGCCGTGCGTGACGCGGCCTACGCGGCGCTGGCAGCGGTGGGGCGGGACGCCATGCACTTCCGCCCGCCCGCAGAGCAGAACGAGCACAAGGTGACCTGCGGTGTCCACGTGGGCGCGCTGGCGCGCGTCGCGCAGGACGTGCGCGAGCGGCTGGCCAGGCATGGGGTGCAGCTGCGCCTCGTCGCCAGCGGCGTCGGCGACTGGAGGTTCCTGGACCTGGTCCCGATGGCGGCCGGCAAGCGGCAGGTGGGTGGTGATTCCTGTGTGGGGTGTGTCGTTTGAGGGGTGGGGCGGAGAGAGGATGGTTGAACAGAGGAGAGCAAGGTCAGGGTGGGGGACCACGTGAGTGGCCGGGGGAATGCAGGCCAGGGACCTTGGCGGCGCGGCTCAGAACCAAGTCCCGGCGCCTTGCCTCATCGTTACCCCTCTCCCACACATTCGTCAGGCGATGGACTTTGCGGCGGAGACGCTGGGGTTCAGGCACGAGGACATCGTGGCGGCGGGCGACAGCGGCAACGATGTGAGGCTGGGGGTGCCTAGGGGGTGCATGTCACACGGATTGGTTATCCCTCATCGTGTGCAACTGTGCCACGATGGGCAGCGTGCTGCTACCAAGCGTGTTTCTATGAACTGCCAGACGCCATACCGAGTACCACCCAGCATAAGCGCCCCCCCTCCCCCGCCCCCCGCCCCCTCAAAAAGGTGGACATGCTGGAGGGGGCGCCCGCTGCCATCGTGGTCGCCAATGCCCAGCCAGACCTGCTGGAGTGGGTGGAGCGCAGCCGCTCCCCGGGGGTTATCCGGACCCGTGGATCCCGGGCCTGGGGCATCCTGGAGGGTCTGGAGCGGCTGGGGTGCGGGTTCCAGCCGCCCACGCTCTGAGATCCAGAGGGCGCCTGGAGATTCATGTTGTTCGTACCTCTGTTCACCCTTCTCTCCCCCCCATCTTGGGCGCACCTTGGCAGTGCAGGCGCCCCTCCCTCCATATCACGTGCGAACCCACTACCCCTCTCAGCATTGCCTTCCTCTCATAACTCAAATGTCCCTTGTGCCACTGCTCGTCATTCATCATGTGACAAGGCCATCGCAGCTGGTACAAGCAGCGCAATTGCCAGCAAAGCAGCGAGCTGTGGTCGTGCTCCTGATGGCCAGGGCCAAGTCATGGTCATCAACGGCGGTGAGACACATTTGCCTGAGATGGGTGAGGGCGGGTAAGGGGCCATATCAAGTGCTTGCGGAAGGCTGATCAGCCAGATCCTGCCGCAGGAGCGCGCGCTGAGCTGAGATCGAGGCCTCCAATGTCGGAAACCCATCCGAAACGAGCGCCAGTCATTGCATTCATCGCAGCATCTGGGACCCCATCAGGATACAAACGCCGATCTATATGTGTACTGGGCACCACTGCTCCTGGTCTGAACCTCGTGGCCACCGTTTGACTCAAGAAAAGGGCTTCCCCTCGCGGCCACCCGCGGCCTGTCTCGGAGCCCGCAATGGCGACCAGCTGGGTCAGTGTGCAGACTGACAGCGACTGGTCCCTCCAAAACCTGCCATATGGTATTTTCAGTACCGCTGATAATCCCCGTCCCCGACCGGGGGTGGCCATTGGGGACCTGGTGATCGATCTGGCCGCCCTCAGCGGGAGTGGCCTCCTGGCCGGTCACATGCTGGGCTCCAGCTCCTGCTTCCAACAGGCACGTTTTGCCGTGTTGAATTATTCTGGATCTAAAGGGCTTAAGGAATCTGTCAGCATCGGCTCAAGGCCCTCGGCCAGCGAATGCTGACAATCAGGTCCCCTTCCTGCTGGTGTGGCTCCTGAGTGACACCCTTTGCTGCTCCCAAAGCTCCTGCTTTCGAATCCATTGGCCAACCCCTGTGCACAGACCACGCTGAATGAATTCATGGGCATGGGCCAGCCGGCGTGGCGGGAGGCGCGATCTATCCTCACACGCCTGCTATCCTCCCAGGAGGGCGTCCTCCGCGACTCCGCATACCTGCAATCCTCCTGCTGCATCCCTCAGGTGTGTGCTGGTGTGATGTGGAGAGTGTGGCTTTCAGTAAGCGGTGCTGTGGGGAGGGGGGGGTCAAATGATGACGTATGTGCACATTTTTGCATGCAAGAGCTATCATACCATGTGATGATGCCGAGACTGCCAGTGAAGGGATTTCGTGGCTGCACCTGCGATGCAATCAGCACCCCTGGCCCGGCAATGAGTAGCATCACCCTCACACCCTCCCTCGCGCAGTCAGCGGTCACCATGCACCTGCCTGCCACCATCCCAAACTACACCGACTTTTACGCGTCGCGGGAGCATGCCACTGCAGTCGGCGCCATGTTTCGGGGGAAGGCAAACGCCCTGCAGCCCAACTGGTAGGGTGGGAGGGGGAAAGAGGGGCTAGGTATGCGTAGGAATGCATGCCAGGAAGCATGTAATCCCCCACCCTGCAATCACCGTGGATCGCCGGGGACAGGGGCATGACGGTGGAAAGCTGACGGTCTTCGCTGGAGCTCTAGCGAGGCTTGGATCACCTCCCAGGGAACTGTTTTCCGTAGCTGCCACTCCGTCACCATGCCGCGATCGCCTCTCTCTCTTGCACCAGGCTGCACCTGCCCGTGGGCTACCACGGCCGTGCCTCCTCCGTGGTGGTGTCTGGCACTGACGTCCGCCGTCCCTGGGGCCAGGTGTGGCAGGAGGAAAGCAAGCAGGCCGAGTGGGTGCCCAGCGCCGCCGTGGACTACGAGCTCGAGCTGGTGAGCTGGGCATGGGTGATGGGGGGGGGCCGAAAGGACAACCGCACATGCCTGGTTGAAATGCACCCGCGCCGCGCTCGGGCCCATGCCCCTGTTGGGACGCTGAAAAGGGCGCGAGACGTGAACTGCTAGCTTGGCACACACCCGGAGCGGCCCGCGGTGCACACCCCAAGGAGCCCCCCCCCCCCCCCAACCCCCCCCACACCCCCTCCCCCCAAGAGGATC